CACCGGGGAAAGAGCTGGCTTTTTGTACCTCCTGGAAGCCGTTTTTAATGAAGCTAAAAGAAATTCTCTCTTGGGGATGCGGTGCTCATACCCAGAGGGTTGGATGTCGATACTAAAGTTCTATGATTTTCGGATCCGTGGAAAGTTTTGATAGAATCTGATACGTTGTGCAGTTACATACGACGTGCAGCTGTCAAAACTGGTTAACAGTACGCGGAGGCATTTAATATTCCTGATACTGATACATAGTCGTACGTTTTGTGACGGAGTACTGATATGAGTGTTGGAGGTAATGATTAACCCGCGATGTAAGCTTCTGAACTTTGATACCTTAGAACGCTGATTCCTGTAAGACCTACATTTTGGCTACGATCTTATCATAGGTATTGCGTGACTGGAACAACACGTTCTATTGGTCAGCTGGAAGTCGACAGATCTTGGTGCAACAGCATTCTGATCCTGGAAACGTTTTGGCTAGTCATAATCTCAAATCTGCCAGGGAAAGAGGTATAAAGCAACGAGTTCTGTCGCAGGACAAAACATTATCCGAAACTAATAGTAATTATTTTACTAGGTGCTTCGAGTAGAAATCGGAAGGCCGAAGTGGCAGTGATTTGAGTCTCCGAAAGAGACGAAAGAGAGCGATTGACGTCGCTGTGTGCAGCGAGGCCGACGTAGCTCTTGTGTTTAGAGGAAGCAAAACGAAAGCCACTAGAACCAGTACGAGTGTAGCGGATCGCAATCCGCTTACTGCTATAGAAACCACAACCTTAACCCAAGGCAAATAAACTGTTCCTATCAAAATGTAAACTTTATTCCTTTATTTTATCTACGATAGAGCAGCCTATATCTAAATTTTAGAATTTCCTAATTAAATAGTAAAACTTAAATAAAGTGCGTAACCACTGGCAGTCCAGCCACGTAGGGCCTCTTGTTAAGGTGTAACCACACATTGTGTGGTCACAACATCTTGTGTGACCCACCCCTTCATGTAATCCCGTTACACAGCGTCCATGGTACATCTCTGTTGAGCAGAGAGGGCGACTGTATGTCGTTGTCCCCAGAGTGTATCTTTGGCTTAGCGGTAAGGAGCAGCTGTGAACTGTGATCTTCTGTGTCAAGATAGGGGAAAGTGGAAGCGACTTGGTGTCGCAATCTGCGGTGAAACTGAAGGGCGATTGTAAGTCGCGATGAAGTGTCGAGCCCTGAAGATAAAAAGAGTAATATACTTTGTCACGATGTGACGGTCCCGCTGAGTCAGCACGACCATGTTACGGGATCACCGTCCGAAAATATAAAGTTCATCGGCTCTTTGGGCAGAAGCTCTTTTATAGCTAAATGTTTTATTCTTAAATGATATGTGCAATAATTTGCACGGCGGTGAGGGCCCCGATATATCATGGGTAGTAATCAAGGAGAAGCTGGCATCGTGGCTATGCACAAACCTAGTTTGATGAAGTTTTAAAACCTTAGAATAATTACGCGTTGGCATTTCAGTCTTCGCCGTAGCGAGGTTTGATATAGTGTCGCTCAGCAAGTGTTTGAAAATTGAGTTAATATGAGACAGAGGCTCTGGCCAATCATCAATAGCATTCATATCTGCGGGATCTGTCCCTTTACTTGGCGCCAATAAAGCACTTGCAGCAATAATTCATTCTCTGTTCAACATCAAATTTTCCGCGGATTGCGATTTTCTCGCTTTGGCATCAGTTTTTACTTTTAAAAGGAGCCAAATCTGAGGCGTTTCTTTGTTATAAAAAACAAACCCGAAACGTTCCATAAGACTCGATCCCTTCTTTTACACGTCTCCAATCAACAATCTTTGCAGTGTACTTCGTTCGGTCTTTCGACGGCGTTACGTGTTGTATAAGTGAGTAGAATCGGTAAATTGAGGGAGGTCTGTTGACCACTACCATGTTTACTTGCTGTAATGCTACCGACTACTATATTATCTCCCAGTTGATTATAAATAGTGTCGACAGAGACATCAATGTCCACAAAGGACATTTACACTCGGGGATGTTAGCGATGGAAGAAATAATCAGCTGGTTGGCTCCGGGTATATAGCTTGCCAGCTTTCGGGCTTTCCTTGTGTCCAGGAAATTTAAAAATGATGCAGCGACTTTGGTACAATTTGATTATGTCTAACACGGATTGTGCATCATGACCACCAGTTGCTAAACAAAGACTTCGTCGATGATTCATTGGCTAGTAAGGCGTGATGCGGATTTTAGGCTATAGGTCTGAATCAATGTAGCGTGGATTAACGCATTTGTTTATCGATCTTATATTGATTAAGAGCTCTAAAATGAAGGCAATACGCTACCAAGAATAAAAAAATCGTGCACTTCATCAGGTGCCAAGCACGTCAGACTATAAAGTGGCTCGGAAGAAAAGCGTCACGGACACCTCAGACGCCGTCTCTCGCGGTATAGCGGCGCAGCATTGTATAATAATTTCAAATGCGCTAACTTATACAATGTAATGCCAAAAATCGCAACAGCTAAACCAAAAAAAGATTTTAGATTTAGCAAAGTATGCTAGACATTTAATCAAAAACCAGCATTCATGCAGGCGAACAACTGCCAGAATCTCTTTGGCCTTTACTGATGCGGCGAGTTGACAAAGTTGAGGCTAAAAGTTTTCTCAGCAGAGACTAATCATATATGGCGGAGACATGAAAACAGGCGTAGGTATGTGCTTTTGTGTAACTGTGTCTTAACGACTTACATTCAAAATTCATGAAGAATCCGATTTTAACCCCTCAAGCATTTTTTGCTTTCACTATTCATTGAGTGCAGGTTTCAGACAAATAACGACGCAGCTACGGATGTGGCTCCAGCCATCCTTCTCGCCCACAAAATGAGGACTGAACCTTGGAATTTTCTTGGAGCTGATGATCAAGCTCGCAGCCAAGGTCTAAAGGCAAAAGCGCTCGCTGGGTACGTAACAGCAGGTACCGCCCAGACAATAAAGCCATACCTGACCTGAGAGTCCACCGTCAAGGATTGTAATAAGGAGATATCCTGGGTATGCACATGTAAATGTATGAGCCGGGCATTTACATGATACCTGTCTAATGATCATAAAGCACAAGCTGTGCTATTCGCGGCTTACGTAGAAGCACCACCACCTCTGATGTTTTTGGCCCAGTCAACGGCTGCATGGTATCAACCGTTGCCGCTGTATCTCAACGAAATAGAGCCTTCATCCAAGGGTGCAATGATCTACATACGCAACGTCAACGAAGTAAATCCCACAGAAGACTTAAAAGCGGCTTTGACCAGTTGGCGCTGCTGTCGATCGAGCAGATCAAGATGGTAAAGCAGGCGTGACGCAATGCGTGACCAAAATGGTTCAAGGTGCATGGTAAAGTTGAGACAAGGTAATGATGCTGATTGGAGCCAAGAATTACCAGTTACGATAAGAAGTACAGCTTACGATCGTGCAAGAAGCACTATTTGTACTTGAATGGACTCTTAAGGTTTAGCTGGCCCGACCTTTAGTCACGCTTTGATGGCAAAAGGTGACATTACGCGATCACATCTGCCTCAATAAGCAAACTATCTGCTTATATGTCTACTTATGATGTCTCCTGACGATCGAGCAGTGGAACATGTTGAAAGGATGCCGTCAATGAGGTGTTTAAAGCGCTAGAAGAAACGTAGCGATGCCGCAAGTACTAGCACGATGATTCCGGAATAGGAACCGTTCGTAACGTCCCACTTGAAAGATCAAGGGCAAGTCGAAAATGTTCGCACTTGCTGTCGGTAACAACGCTCTGCCAGTGGACGCCAAAAGCTCGATCCGGGAGAATGACGCTGGCCGATGTTTCTTCAATGGCCCCACACTGCTGACGAACCCAGTGGGGTGTTTGTTAAGGTTTTGGTATGTCGCCGGATATCGGACGATGGGCATTGCCAGATAATATCGCTGATTATAGGAACAATTGCTACCGATTGAGGTAGGTTTTAACGACATCGACTACGCACCAGCACTGGCACTGATCCTAATCTGATTCGAACGGCTGATTGTAAAAGAATACTGTCTCACCATGCTCAATGGTGAATTGGAGTTGATAAAGAGCAACGAAGTGAAGTTCTCCGCCGCCTTTATGTACAACGAGCTTGTGACTAGATAAGAATTGGGTGACGAGAACAGTGCAAGATGAAAGAGGTAATCCCGAATGTGATGAACTCGAATACAGACACAGTCTCGCGAATCGTCGCATCGTTACCACCGAAATTATGGTGGGTTTTCATGCACGCTTTAGTCATCTGACGCTGGTCACCATCAAGCGCATGGCAAAGAACACTGTTTACTTTATCAGGATCTTGGAAAGAAAGCGTATGCAATGTTGAGGGCAATCAAGCTTGAGCAAAGTAGCCGGTCAATGTCACCGGAGATCACGTACCGATTAATCAAGTCGAACGAGTCATTTGTAACGACTTAAACGGTCCGATGACGCGGCTTGATCACCAATGTAATCATTTCATTGTCAACTTTGTAGACCACAAGTCCAATTACTGTGAGGCATTTCTGTCGAATCCGAGAATTAGTTGGCTGACGTATTCACGTTATCCGCCCGGATGGCGGAGGACAACATCAAAGCACGTCTTTTGCAGAAAACAGAGCGTGCTGCCAAGATTCTGAAGGCTGAAGCTGCAAACGGTTTAGCGGAGCGAATGTGCCTCACGGTTTCCAACACGACTTTATATAGGAATGCCGTTGAGTTTCTGGGGTGACGCGCTGAGTACGCCACGAACTTCTTGTACCGAATCTCATCTCGTGCCAATGAGGATAGGAATTTTGGCTTGGAAATCGCGGATCAAGTACGCGATTCGATCAAAGGAGAAGCTCCGGTTCAAACTTAATTGGCGAAACTACTTCCACACATGACGAAGAAGAGAACGATGAAAATGACGATAATTTTTACCACGAGCGGGGTGGAATGCAAAATACACGCGCCCAAACGTCATGCCCGCTGTATATTGCACGACACGTCGGACATATCCGTTAATAAGGGCTGACTATAATCTAGCTAAGCGTACATTTCGGTGCCTTGCCTTAGTGGCACCGATAGCACAAGCCCTGAGTGCTAGGTCATGGCAAGGCGGATGAATCACCGCTACGGCTGTGCTCATACCGACGCCGACTTTGCAGCTAGTGACTGCAACAATCGTCCGATCGAAAAGTGTAAAGCAGATTTCTTTGACACTATCGACAAACGAAGCAGAAAAACGATGGACGCTTAAGAGCTACTCGAGCTGAAGGATATACTCGGTGAGCTGGAAAGCCACCAAGTTGTCTATGAACATGCTGATGGTCAAACGAGCGGCTATCATGTTAGTGCAGAGCGAAACAAGCTTGGCCAAGGTGAAACATATAAACGTCAAGCTCAAGCTCATCCATGACACGCATCGTAGTGCCAAAGTATGTCGCTAGCGACGTAATGCTTGTGAGCCAGCAGACAAATTCGCTGCCGGCTCCACAGATAAAAGAACTTCCAGAAGAAGAAATTCGGACTCATCGACATCACGTAATATAGGAACCTCGAGGCCCTAGAGAGATGTGTTGAACATTAATGGAAAAGCCAGTATACGTGCAAGCCAGAATTGTATGGGTCTTTACGATATGTCCCGAGTTGACAACGGCTAGGACTCGCAAAGGGATAATTCGATGAAGCATAGAGTTTAGGACCAATCACATCAGCCATAAGCACCACGCCTGTATCTGCTTTTAGTTTTTGTGACTCGAAGTACGTCAACATTTTTGCTCGAGATCGAGCCAATGTCATTGATGCTATGTAATTGAGCTGATAATACGAGAGGTGTATCTGTAATCTTCGAAAACCTGCTCTACTTTACGAGCGAAATTCTACATGGCGGTAAATCAATTTGCTCGCCACTATTTCGAACAATCGATAGCTTGAAACGAGGTAAAGTTCTTGCTACATTACTTTGCAAGACATGCGCTTTTCAAAGCTATAGCGATATACTACACAAGCCTATGACCAGCACAGACCAACATAGATACTGACATTAAAACAGTCGAAGGTGCTTCATCATGGAAAACCGATTGCGTAAAGCTCGCGCAAGCAGTTTAACAACAAGCATCATTTCTTTTTTCTGCCGAGCATAAGGCCGAAAAATTACCATTTAACGCGCTGTAGGCGAATGAATAAAAGATATAACGCGACCTATAAGTACGTCACACCTGATCGATAGTCTCTTGGGTACTTTGAGAAACGCATCGTTAGTGCATCGTTCCCGGGAAAACCTGTAGCTCTGAGCACTTTGGCAAGCGTGTGGAATTATAGCCAAATGCTTTAGCTTGAGTTGTTGCTGACGGAGTGGAATGAACTGTGGAAGATAGATAGATAATGCATTGTTGGCATCAGACGTCCAAATCTCCAGATAATAACATTCTTAGAAACTGCTTTTATCACGTTCGATACTCTGGCTATCTGTCGCTTGCATTATCACAGCAATCTCAGTGGTAGATAATGGTGCTCAGACCAGAACGCCAGGAAAACATCTGAACAACGTCTTCAG